AAAGAAAGAAAGAAACTGACTCCCAGTCAGGGGACTGACCAGAGGAGTTGGGCTGCCTCTGTGGGATCTTCTTGCCCTTCCCCTACCAACATGGAGAGTAAGCAGTTCATTCAGTAAAGTTAGGGGTGGGGGACGGGGCAGGGCAGATAGTAGTTGGAATTGTGATTCGCTATTATTTGATGTGGCTGCTACTGACAGAGACCTAAAATAAAGGTACCTTAAACAAGATTAATATTTTCCCCCCTAAAGACAAATAAGTGTGGAGGTGGCAGTCCCGAGGTGGGGTGCCAGCTCCGCGAGCATCAGCAAACGGGGCATCTTCCCTCTTTCCGTTTTGCCATCCCCACCAAGTGGCTACTCTCTTTAAGTTGTGTCATGGTCACCAGGTAGCTGCTGGGGTTCTGAGTTTGGAGAAATGGGAGAAGAAAGAACTTTCTGGCTCCCAGCTTTCCTGTAGCCCTTCTATGTAAATCTCATTGGCAGGAAAGGCTGGGAAAGGTAGTTGTTTTACATAGTCATGAGGGGTAAGGATGGAGAGAAAAGGTAGTAGGAAATCTGAGGAAAAAAACCCAAGTGCTAAGACAAAAAAGTAAAAAATACAGGTACTCTATAATAGAATAAAGGGAGGGTATATATTGGATTGATAATTCACTATGACATTGGGCACAGCCAATACACCAGATATTGTCATGAGAAGTGTTGGTGTCGGAATTGAAATGCTGGAATACAACCCATTTTAGAGAGGACCTGTACTTTAAAACAAAGCCCTAAAAGGGAACTAACTGATACTCTGATCAATACTACAAAAGGATTTTCCATCCGAAATTAAAGTTTGCTTTTATACTTACTTTAGTAATGACTTCTGGATGGATTTTCAGATTTAGAAATACTTAAAAAAACTGTGGGTCATTGGACGAGTTAGCTAATCACTCTGAGCCTCAGTTTCCTCATTTTGCAAAATAAGAGTGAATTGTACTGACCTAAAATGAAATGAGAAGATTGAGGAAGTTGTTAAAAAATTCAAGGAGAGAATTCTGCGAGTCACTAATGCATGTGGAGCCCAGTGTCAGGGAGCCTGGTGGACAAGTCATAAGTGGTAATTTGTATCTAGTTTGCAGTCATCCTGGTGGTAAGAGTGACAGTTTTCCTCATGCTTATGCTACTGTGCTGTTCCCGATGCCACGATGCGGGGCACTTTAGTGGCGTGCTAGAACATGCTATTGTTACATATTTACTGACTCTCTTTGAAGGGCTCAAGATGTTTTCCGTCAGGCGATGAAATCTCCCAGCGTGCTCCTCCATGTGCTTCCACCTCAAAACCGTGAACAGTATGAAAAATCAGTCATTGGACCACTTAACATTTTTGGTAACAATGATGGTGTTTTGAGAACAAAGCTGCCGCCTCCTGTCCACGGGATATCAGGAATAAAAAGCATAAATCTCACAGGAACAGGTAGTCCTGAAGAAGATGCATTGACCTCTCTGCAACAAAGCAAGAGCCCCCGGGTGCCAAGACTGGGTAGAAAGCCATCCTCTCCCTCACTCTCCCCTCTCATGGGGTTTGGCAGCAAGAAGAATGCAAAGAAAATTAAGATTGACCTAAAGAAAGGTAATTATTAAATTATGCTTAATAGCATTCTATTATTATAACATGTAAAATTGGTTAAGAGAAACACATTAAGGCTAATTTCGTTAATTCTCCCTTCACTTAATTGTATCAAAGAATAGATTTAAGTAGGTAACTTAGCTCTCTTGAAATTGTACTACTTTCTTATTCTTTTTTTCTGGAGAGTATAGATTATTTGAAACAAAAAAAAATGATAAAGACATGTTGGGAAATGGAAAGAACCGTTGCAAACTTGAGAGAAACACAGTACTAAAGAAGCACTGAAATTCATTTGAACCCTATTTTGAGCAAGATTAGTGATTTTTGTAGCACCCTTTAGGTCAAGTCCAAAAAGCACGTATATGTTTCTAGTTGTCTAAGCCAGTTTTAAACCGGCAAAACATTTAGTCCTCAAAAAGCAAACATGTGATAATTATAATTGATAATTACTATATATAATTATATAATTGAAATTTCGCTAATTCAACATTGCAAGCAATTTTTCAAAACATACTTAATTGCAAAAGCATGTATAACCTTGTCTTCATCTTTTCCAATTTTCTATACATTTCAAACCCAGATCAATGAGACTAGGACATGTGTGTACATGCATATTTATGCAATATTATACATACATAAGCCTTCGTGTACTTCTGTGCTTTTGTTTATTTGTAACCTCCTGATAATCCCTTCCCCCACTTCAACCTTCTGCACTCTGATGTGATCTTCAAGACTTGAATTTTTGTCTGAATTAATACAGAATTTAATGATCACAAGGTAGTTTTAAAATGCTTATGAACATATATAAAAAACAAGTAACATGCACCTTTAATTAGAGTATAGTGGTTATTCTGAAAGATTCTCTGGTCAGAGTTTTCTCCCCCTTAAGAATTCTGTACTGACTAGGAGACACAAATTCACCTGTGTGCTTCAAAATTAGGCTTTTTTTTTCTTTTGAAATATTTATTTATTTATTTGAGAGAGTGAGTGAGCATGCTCATGTTCGTGCACAAGCAGGGGGAGGGGCAGAGGGAGAGAGAGAGAATCTATAAGCAGACTCCCCACTGAGCACAGAGCCTGATGTGGGGCTCGATCCCAGGTCCCTGAGATCATGCCCTGAGCTCACTTAACCAACTGAGCCACCCACGCGCCCCTAGGCTTTTTATGTAAATGTATCAGTTATATTTTTTGTACAAATTATCCAGCTACCTATAAGACATGGGGTTGAGTGCTTTGAGGATAGATAAATCAGACACAGAAGGTAATCTTAAGAATGCATCAGAAAGGGGGCGGCCTGGGTGGCTCAGTTGTTTGGGTGTCTGACTCTTGATTTCAGCTCAGGTCATGGTCTCGGGGTTGTGGGGTGGGACCTTGCATCGGACTCCACACTCAGCGGGGAGTTTGCTTGGGATTCTCTCTCTCTCCCTCTCCCGCTGCCCCCCCCACCTCTCTCTCTCAAAATAAGTAAATCTTAAAAAAAAAAAAAATCCATCAGAAAGCCTTGAATGCAAAAATAAAGAATATGCCATCACAGCTGTACTTTGGGAAGATTAATCTGACAGCAAAAAGGTGTACCAAAGAAGAGATCAAACAACAAAGGATCAGTAAAGGATACGTTGCATCTGTCTAAATATAATATGTATGCCTTGCCTGCTGACTAGATATAGGAAGAGAGAGAGAGGAGTTGCAGGTGGCTCGTTCAATGGAGATACAATTACTAAAAATTAGAATTTTTTGTAGATGAGTATATGTGAAAAGACCAGGATCTGAATTGGAGAAGGAGATTCATAGGGAAGTTTGAAATGCTGGTAAAAGTGTGTGCATGGTCCTAACAAGGAAGCTGACACCAGAGAGATTAGGGCCAAAGAGATTTAGGTGTCATCCATAGGAAGATGGCAGTTGGAGCCAGGAGCTGGCCAAGGCAGAGAATCTAGAGAACAAATTGTTCTAGGGCAGATCCTTGGGGAATATCTTTGTTCATGTGGGAGAACAGTGAGTAGGAGAAGAGTGGTAGACATGATGTGATCAGAGAGGTAAGAAAATAATCAGAAAATGAAGACATGAAAACCAAAGAAGGGGCCATTAATTTCACGAGAACAATTGGTGAGAAGTGTCAAAGCTAGTGAGAGGGACAGATCAGAAGAGGAAAAATTAGTGGATGTGGTCATGGGTAGGTCATTGGTGGTGGAAGACTGAAGAAGTAAGATTGAAGTAAGGATTCTTTAGGGTAGAGATCTTTGAGCATACCTTCAGATAAAGGGAAAACCACATACCGGGAGAGAGAGAGAGATACTGAGATGCAGGAGAGTGGGACAGCAAGAGTGAGGGAGGGAGCAAGGGAATGTAGCACAGGAGGAAATTGAGGCCCAGGTCGGGGGAGCTGCAGGGTGGCTAGCTGAGTGAGTGCCTGACAAAACTCATGTCAGATGGCCTTTGGCTGCTCATGGTTTACCGACAAATCAATCTCCTGGGTTTATGGATAACATGTGGCATTTCTTCTGGGGCCTCAATAAACGAAAGTATTACATGTCTGCATTGGGCCCTAAATTCACTTTGAAACCATCATGGCCTGTCAGGAACTATAATCTGTATTTGCAACCAGAACAACTGAAGTGAATATAAAATATTTGCTGGAATGTAAATATTTTACTTATTCTACATTAGTCTAAATTAGGTAGACTTGACTGTAAGGTTTCTATTTAAGGTGATCATGTATTTTCCTGGTCTTACACACTAGGCCCTGAAGGACTGGGTTTCACTGTGGTTACCAGAGACTCTTCCATACATGGGCCTGGTCCCATTTTTGTAAAAAACATTTTACCAAAGGGAGCAGCAATAAAAGATGGCCGCCTACAATCAGGGGACAGAATTTTGGAGGTAAGAATTGGAATTAATATCTTCAATAAAATATCCTTGGTATTTAAATAAATATGTTAATATTTATATTTTGAATATAATATATTGAAGATTATCACTTGTAGACAAGATAAGGACTTTAATTATAAAAAAAAAACGTTAATGGGAAGCCTAACTTCTAAGTTCCCCATAAGGCCAGCAATATAAGGACAAGTAACACTGCAAACTTTTCCCTGTCTTCTCTGTCTTACTTCCACCTCTTAGGGTCCCTGTGGAATTTGGATCAAATCTAGGAATTCATCATAAATGCAGTTAGGGCTAAGAATTTCAGAGTGATAGCCAAACTCTGGTAACAGTTTCTTTAAACTTCTCATAGGGCTGGGCCTGTCTGTCTCAGGTTGATCTATGCCTATAAAGAAGTATTTGGAACTACCCAAAGCGAGAGGCTCCTCCCCCCATGTATTTTTGTTTGGTAGCATTGTCTTCTTGGCTAAATGTATATTATCAACTTACTTTTCAAGAAATCTTCCTCACTGAAACTGGCTGGTACTATTTAACTTTCTCATGGCATGGAAGCAACACTATACATTTTTATATAATTCTAGATTATGGAAGAGGACGTATCAAATGACTAATACAGCTCCAAATTATAATTTCTAATCTATGATAACCAGGAGACTATAACTTTCTAAACATGAAGAACACCGTTTAATTATAACAAAAGACTTTGGCTGCCAAAGGAATTTGCCACGTGATTATGGTCCATTTTTTGTTTTTTTGTGTTAGGCAGAAAATGTTGCCAGTTCAGCATCTGAAATCCACTTCTTTTTAAGGAGTTATTTTCTGCTGTCAGTGTGATGTCCCCCTCATAAGAATGTGGCATCTTAGGAGAAACTGCTGATACTTATTACTGGCGATCTGAAACGATCTAGCACCACAATAATGATGCCCAGTGTAGTACTGGTCCTTTGAACATAGTTGGTTTCAACTATGTTGTGTTCAGTTTTCATCTTCTCAGAGCTTTATTCGTTGTAGGAGCCCACTTGCTACTTACTTTGAGCAACCAATTAGCATAGAAAGAAGATGGAGAGAGGGCGCCTGGGTGGCTCAGTTGGTTAAGCGACTGCCTTCGGCTCAGGTCATGATCCT